GGGAGTATAAATTACACCACAGGTCCTGCAGAGAACTTGTCAATTATCTCAGGGAGTTGGCCCCACCTGAAGGCAAGTGAGTGAGTTTCCTGCCCCTTCACCAGTCAATCATCAGCAAAGGAGGGGTTGAGGGAAGGGGGTGGAGGGTACTTAACTCCCAGACACTTCCAGCTCTGTGAGTGTGCACATGTGTACGTATGTGTGTACGTGTGTGTGTGTGTGTATGTGTTTTGGGGTTGGGGAGGAGCCCCACTAGCTCAAGGCCAGCCCTCTGAAGAAGGTTCCAGGTACTAGCCCTTAGGAGCAAATGTACACAGGAGCTAGGCTTAGTGCACAGGACCAGTAAAGAGAGTCTGAGGGAGGCTGGGCAGAGCACGGACAGCATCTGAAACATTAATCAGGAGGATTTCACGGCAACGTATCTGTATCAGCTCTGCCTTCCGATCTTGGAGTTGGTCCATAACCAAATTATGTACACTTAACTGTAAATACATTCATTTTTCTTTGGTAATTTACAAAGAACTAAGTTTGAAGTAAATATTTCCTAGGAGTATAAAATTCAATTTTGAAGGTTGCCTCCAGGCATCAAAAAATGAGCTCTTCAACCTATTACAGTATGTTTTTCTGCTGAAGAAAGTTGTGCCAGTCACTAATAGAGGGCACAGACCCTGTTCAGATGGAAGCGATTGGGAAAGGTTGGTGGCAAACTCCTCAAATACCAAGAGAAAAACTGGCAGCAGCAATTCCTGGGTTCTTTCACATATGCATATTCATTTAACTCTCCACACAGCTCAGAGTCTGAAATACTGTTTAAATTGAGTAGTGTAATCCGTGCATCTGGTTAACACAGATCTATAGTACAGAGATTCAAGACTCTGCTTTATTCAAATAAATTTTTGTAATTTTAAAATGTAATTTTTTACATCTCTATGTCCTTATCTGTAGAAGGAGAAGGCTGACTTGAAGCTTTCAGGTCATAGGGACTTGATGGAGACAGCCAATGGGGTAGGTAGGCTGGGTCACAAGGTTGCCTGAGGATTAGCTAATATACTATCATAAATGACTACAGAAACATGAAATATCAAAATAATTTTTAAATAACACATGCAATTAATTTCTCAGGGTCATGAATGGTTCCATACACCCCTTTTAAAAACAATTGCAATAAACTGGCAATTTATAATTTAAGGCAATTATGTCAGTACATCTGGAAGACTAGAACGGGAACTAGAGGGTATACTCTATGAACGCTGTATAACCAGATACATTAAAACAAAATTCATGAAGAATTTCTGAAGGACCCAACAGATAACACTGGTGATGAATGGGCACCTCAAGTTTTTGCACCTACATATAAGTTCCAATTTTAAATAAGTAAGTAGTGAGTGACCACAATGGCTGCCACCAAGGGGCAGGGACAGTTTACTCTTCCAGGGACTCTCAGAGCAAGGCAGGAGCTCAGGAGATGAGTGAGAAATACCAGTGGGTACGGGGAGGGGTTAGAGGATGGAAGAGGATTTAGCCTAACAATGACTGAGTCTCTTCCTCACACAGAATTCTCAACTCTTACTACAGTTACAAAAGATCTGCAATGAACTCTCATTCCCGGGTGAAATATTTGCCAAAATCAGTGCTACAATGATAGGACGAAGCTATTCAGACTTGGCGTCTCCTACTCTTAGCATATTTGAATTCTGAGAATTCAGCGTCCGATGGTAATTCTCTGCTTTCCCATGCATTGTTTTGTAATTGAAAACTTTTGGAGTTGATAAGAATCTGATATGTACTATAAGATGCTGAAGAGAGGGAAAACTGAGAAGTCAAACCAAAATTAATACTGTTCAAGAATCCATGCCGATGAATGAGATTATCCAAAATCATGGCCATTATTCCATTTTTAGATTTTCACTCTGTAACATGGCAGATCTGTCTTTTCAAGTATGTTTTCTTTGCTGGTAATATCTGAGTTAGTTTCTTTGAATTTGCTAACCCGTAAGCGCATTAGGTGATGGGAAAGAAAATAGACTAGAATAAATATGTATTACTGGGCACTTCATAAAGAGGAAGAGCTAATGACAATAATGAAGACTCGGGAAGAAGCCAATTCCCAGGTCTTATGGGGGAAGGACGCAGAGGATCTGCTTCACATCACCCAGGGCCAGAGGAGAGGGACAAGCAGTTTAGGGAAAGAAGAGAGAAGAGGACAGAAGCTCCCCAAAGGCAGTAGAGAGAATACTTCCCCAAACAGAGAGAGAATGAGAAGGAGGTGAAGCATAGAGATAAAAAATCACAATTAAGGAGATCTGGTCACAGAATAATTAAATGCCCCCACCCCCAGATCATGGTGAAAAGACGACTAATCTAGATGACAAGATGGCCAAGTGCTATTAGAAATCTGTCAGGAGGATAACAAGCAGAAAAATCAAGTGCTCTCGTCCTCTCTGGAAATGCACAACTTCAAAAATTTCCAGCCTGATCTTAAATTCTAGCCAAAAGGAACACCATGCAAAGAGCATGGGTTCTACTGAATGTTCAGTCCTTGTGTTGAGGAAAATCAGAAGAATTCCCACAGTGTCTTTGCTCACTCTGAAAACGTGTCATTTGAGTTTTCAAACAGTGGCACTTTTCTCCCAATAGCAACTGAGATCGCAAAAAGAATTTTACTTAAATTATATCAGCCATGAAATTAACTATAGTGTAATGACCCAGCCCTTGGAGTGAACTGGCTGCATAAAAGCAATCAGAGCAAAGATGAGAAGGATTGTAAGAAAAACTCAAGACATAATGGAAGCCCGAGTCCTACCCTTCTGGTCCCAGGTGGCCCGGGTCATATGATAACTAGCAATCGCAGCATCCTATGGGTGTCTAACGCTGGGGGAATGCAGACAACTGAGAAATCTTACACACCATCATTTCGGGGGCGTGTATTGAATGTGTGGATGTATGAACATTGGAGACCAGGAAGGGACAGGGATCATACTCCTGAAGTAAAGCTGATCATGAACCGGAAGTGAAATTTTCTCCATACCTTTGTTTCATGGACTTCTCTCCCCCACCTCCCAGAGATATCCTCCCCCAGTCTTCTTTTGTTATCAGAAACTAATTTAACACATTAATACATGAGTGTTGCCCACATTTAAGTTCTTTACACACACTTTCACAATTTATGCCTTATCCAAAAACCGTGTGTACCCTACCCCTCACTCAGAGAAAAGCCTTATAAAGGCCAGCAGATCCCTACGCAGAGCTGCATTTCTGCCACTTGTCTGTTGTCTCCTACTGCCCCCCCCCGCCACCCGCTCCCCACCGTTCCAGCCACACTGGCCACTGCTGTTCCTTCAACACTTATATGTGCTGTTCCCTTGCCCAGAATGCTGTTCCTTCACATATCAGTATGCTTATTTCCTCTGCCTTCGACTCTTGGCTCAAATGTCATGTTATCAGAGAGCATTTCTTAATTACTTAAAAATAGCAAAACTCTCACTATCCCTCTCTTTTTTTTTTTTTTTAAAGATTTTATTTATTTATTTTTTCCCCCCAAAGCCCCAGCAGATAGTTGTATGTCATAGCTGCACATCCTTCAAGTTGCTGTATGTGGGACTCGGCCTCAGGATGGACGGAGAAGTGATGCCTCGGTGCGCGCCCGGGATCCGAACCCGGGCCACCAGCATCGGAGCGCGCGCCCTTAACCACCAAGCCACGGGGCCGGCCCCTGAAAGCTAATAAGCTTTTAAGACTATAATATAGAAAAAAATCGACTTTTAACAGATGTTTACAGAACTTCCAGTTTTAGCTGACATAATCTGCAACACAGTGAAAGATGACAAGGTATAGCCATGCCAGCTTTCTTTCTTAGGAATTCTGTACAGAGATAAATCTTCTCTGAAGGACATGGCAGCAAATATGGTTAGGTAATAACTTAGTCCCAGATCAGCATAAGTGGTATTATTTGAGAGGACCTGGAGGCTTACTCTGAAGGATCTTTGAGAAGGCAGGTCTGCAACAGGTGATCCCCCTTCTGTCTTGGGACCTACTTCAAAAACCAATTTAGTTAGCCAAAAAAGGCCTAACTAGGCTCATAGAAAAATCTTTGGAGCTATCAAGAATCTGAATCTATATCCTAGGGTAGGCTTTTCCTTGGGGCATAATAAAGATGGGACAGACCAAAGTCTTTGGGCACCAATTTTATTTTTGTAAGTGAGGCACCTCATTGGTTCCCTGTTTCCCTAGAAAATGATGACAGGAACTATGAAAATTCAGCAACATCTGTGGTTCCTAGGAATGCATCCAGCAAAAACCTTTCTGTTCTTGTATTTCATATTTCTCGAGCCAAGACTATACATGTTTGTAGGGACTTCCAAATTTTCTCTCACTAGTACTTTGCTAATTGAGATACACTGTTATAATTCATTTTCCTAGTAAGCCTCAGCTGAGCCAGATGAGTATTACTTTGACTTTTTGAGACAACACAGTGAAAAGAGCACTGGAATTAGAGACCTGGATTCACGTCCTGGCTCTATCACCTACTGGTTTGGAACTCTGCATGACAACCTCCCTAAGCCTCAATTTTCTCATTCACAAATAAGTCTCACTTACTAGAGTTGTGGGAAGATTAAATGAGTCACATTGAGTGACCATGCGTAAAACACCCAGTAGGGTGTTTATCTTCTCCATACCGCCTACTTCACTGCATGATTTCTCCCCCATCTCACATTTTCTTTTATCTTGTCAATATCATGTAATTCTTCTCTGTTATTTTCTGTGTGTTAATTTTAAATATCTCAAGTGGGCAATGAGACATGGTTACTGCCCACAGGGAGTTTACACCGTCTTGGTTTTCCTATTGTGCCCAGCAGTTTCATAAAAATTAGTTGTTTAAAGGACTGATTTAAATCTCCTTTTCTCCACAAGTGACCTTGATCTGGCTATTGTTTCAGGAATCTGAATGCCAAAGAAGACATCTCCAGAAATAGAACCAATTTGTTTCACTACAAACTTACCAATACCCATGATAGAGGGATCACATCCAGATGCAAAATATCCGACAATTCTTGCCAGTGGTGTGAAGTTATGTTTTTTAATAGCATCTTCACTAGCTATGATAACAGCTCCAGCTCCATCAGCTACCCCCTTGGAAACAAAAACAGAAGATTAACTAGAGGGTAAAAGAACCCAGTTAATCGAGGTTTGAACTAATGGAGTAGTGTTAGGTTATGGCAACACGCAGGAAGCAGTGCCATAATCCGGGATACAACAAGCAGTACTAGTGATACTCTGGTAGGTTAAAGAGATTCCTTTACAGAACACAACCTCACGAAAGGAAACTAGGAAAGAGTGTCAAGGAAAAGCTTATATCCAGATGTGGGAAGATGTAAGAAGAAATCTGATGAGTTGTATATATGAGAAAGAAAAAATTATGAAAACAGAAATATTAAACCAGGTAGATTTCCTTCTAACATTCTGAAAAGACTCAGGAATTGGGAGAGTATTATATAAGGCCCCCAGCTAAAATATTTTGTTTTGGACGATGAAAACCCAAATTAAGAGAATACGAACACTACTAGCTTAAGCTAAATAACTCAAGAGTAGCACGAAGAGTATCTAAAAGATTCTGCATAATGATTTTGCATTGAACGCAGCAGGGAGAGTTCAAGATAATCTGTGGTGCTACCTACCGATGCGTTCCCAGCAGTGACAGTCCCCTCCTTCTTGAAAACTGGAGGAAGTTTACTTAACTGTTCCAGGGTTGTCTGGGGCCGAGCATGCTCATCTACTTGCATTGTCTGTTTTCCTTTCTTTGTCTTCACCTCAATTGGTGCCATCTCATTATTAAAATAGCCAGCATCGTTAGCTGAAATAGTAGAAAGACTGTCACAAGAATGAGAGAAAAAGAACAACAACAAGAAAAGAAACTAAATCAAACATATCCTTTACTTTAATTTCTGGTTTACCCTTTCCTCATAGTCTACTCTAATACGAGCCTTTATTACTTATATAACTTTCTTTGCCTATTGGAGGATTCAATATACTGTCTCGCATCCACACAGATGCATTCTGCGCTTTTTTAAATTACAATTTTGATTTTTTTATTACAATTTTTTTTGCAAGGTACTGCTAGATTGTTAGCAGTGTTTGTCTGCTAGCTACATATCTAATGGCACTGAATGGATTTAATACCCTTTTTTAACTATTCTAGGTGAGAAAAGAAGTAACTAAAAAGTTACCAAGTTGCACCAACAGTCAACAATAACGTATTGCACACTTAAAAATTTGTTAAGAGGGTAGATCTAATGTTAAGTGTTCTTACCACAATAAAAAAATAAAAGTTACCAAGTTGTCTATGTCACCATGTAATCTATGACTGAAATTTAATGACAGGCAACCTGAAGAAATTATATGAGCTATAACTGACACAGTTCTAAGTAAAACAGCTTACCTACTTCCACCTCCGTTGACTGGAATGGACTATCTAAAGCTTTAGAAATAGGATAAGTCAGGAATAATACAATCTGATTTTTTTTTTTTTTGGTGAGGAAGATTGGCCCTCAGCTAACATCCGTGCCAATCTTCCTCTATTTTGTATGTGGGACACCGCCACAGCATGGCTTGATGAGCACTGTGTAGGTCCGCGCCAGAGATCTGAACTCGTGAACTCTGACCCACTGAAGCAGAATACGAACTTAACCACTATGTCACTGGGCCGGCCCCAATACCACCTTAATTTTGATATCACTTTACCACAGGCTAAACACTTTCCTTATTTGGTTTTCACAACAACTCTATTAGGTAAATAGGGAAGGCAAGTATTTTTTATCTCTATTACTAGAGATAAATCTGATTTATCTCTATTTTACAGATGCTCAGTGAATAAATGACTTGACTGAGGTCAAATAAGTTGTATGTGGCAAAACTAGAAATCGAACTGATAACTCTTGACCTCTAGAGCCATACTCTTCCACTGTAAATGTGTAACTGAAAAACACAGGATGAGCTGGATGGCATCAGCTCCATTCCATTATCCCACTGAAATGCTAAGATGGACATTATCCTCACTATTCCAAGTACTTAATACCTCTAATCAGAGTTTCTGCTTGTTTATAATAGTTTAATTTTAAAAACGTTTTTCAGGAGACTAACAAATTTCTTCAACTCACCATATTGATAAAAGGACTACTGTCAAGTTGCTCATTTTGGACCAGTTCGATAGCAGCGTGCAATGTTACACAAGGGCTCCAGAACTAGGGCCTTGGACTAGTTCTAAGTCTGAGTCAGGTGCAATGACTCTCAATTAGGAATGGGAAGGGGAAGGCATAAAAGGATACCCAATGGGTCTTTTCAAACATGTCATCCCGTCCTTTTGAATATGATACGCCTCACGGGGGAGGACATCTTCTCTGCCCCAGTTGCCCCAGTGAACAATGATCTCTAATGGAGTGTATCACAGCCCTCACGAGTGTTCTACCTGACAACAGGACTAGTTTGGGACAAAAGTCAAGTGTCCAGATAGAGTCAATTAACAATACCACTTTTTAAGTAGTATTAATGTATTTCAAAAGAGAAATTTCTAGTTAATTTTGCAATCATTAATAGATTTTTAGATCATCTAAAAACAAAGGAATGAAGAAAAAATGTGATTTTCAAAAGGTATAATTTTAAACCAATATTATTATATGATTATTACAATCTGAAATGATAAAAATCTTTCCTATAGTTTTTTTCCTATCGATATTTATAATATCCAACTTCACTGACCAGCTTTCCACCTCTGCTGTGACTGCAGGGCGTATTTGTCACAGTCTTCTCTGCTTATTTCATGTTTCACAGCAAGGTTCTCTGCAGTAACTGCCATGGAGATTTGGACATGTGGATCCGTTAACGATACCCACAAAGTATCTTCCAGCTATTAAAAGACATTAATAAAGTGATTTGTTAAAACATATCTTTTGAAAGTAATATGCTATAACTTCTTTAAATTTAAATAATTAACAGTTCCAAGAAACAGAAGTAAAATTAGATTTTCTGATAAGCATTTCCTATTACTACTATTCATATTTGGTTCTGGGACATTTTTCAAAAACATTCAATGCCATAATAAAATGCACACATTCTATTCTCTCTCTAAATGTTGGGCTCTAAAGGGAGCCCATAGTGCTAAATGTGCAGAGTGAGAATGCAGGAAGTTGTCCTACAATCAAAATTAAACCCTCAAGGTTCCATTCTGTAAGAAACCTAACACTGAGTCCTCATGCAGTGTTTCCCTGTAGCCACTTCTGTAAACCACAGTTATGAGCTCTGTAGGAAAGAGTTTATCTCTACTCCTTTTTCATTCCCTGCCTTCAGTGATAGAAACAGCTGGTTCTGTCAGTTACTACGAGGTTGAAAAGAACCTGGGACAAGCTCCTTGAGTAACAGAAAAAGTTGTTATTATCCAATCCTATAGTCTCTGATAAGAGACTGTTTCTCTTATCTGTTTCTTCTAGACTGCTCCATCTATTTCTTCTAGCCTGCCTCATTACTTTTTGAGTCACTGACCTGTCTTTCCGAAGGTTTTCTCAAATATATTTGGTGTTTAAATGACTATCTCATATTTTCTAAGACTTATTCCTTTCAACTTTCAAAAATGCCAGGTGAGAAACTGGGTGAACAGTATAAATCAATCATTACTATTGGGAAATTCTAAAAATATAAATGTCATTAGCCCTTTCATATGGGAAGGACAGGATACTATCATTATCAGTACAAGCATTCTCATGTTGTAGGTCTCAAAGATTTAAGAATCAGTTTTTGTCTGACTGATTTGGGACAATGTAATCTATATTCAAAGAGACTGTTTTTGTGATGAAGAAGAAATCTATTTGATGGAGGCTGCTCCAGAAATAAAACTTCCATAAATCATAGCAAAGATTTAATGACTTGTTCTACCAGTTATTCAGTAGAAAGATGAATTCAACCTTTGCCTGTCTTTTTAAGCTGATTCTTCCCTTCCTACATCTCCCTAGATGCTAATTCTACTCAGCAAAGGTGTGCTGAGATCAAGTCTAATTTTATGTAGGTTAAATGTCAAAACTAACAACCAAAGTAGAGTTAGTTTTGAAATAGTTTACAAATTTCCAAGCATTCGTATCTTGCCAATCCCCTATTAACAAAATTGGGGTCAAAATTAGTTTTCTTTCTTCCAAAATGGTGTTATTAAAATTATTAGTATAATGGCATGAAAAATAATTTAAAAAAATTTTAATAGTTCCAACCTGGAGATCTAATCCAAACTTTGTTCCAAAACGCATGTTTCTGACACAGAAGGGAGTCTGGCTCATGTTTTCGCTTCCTCCACACAAGACAACTTCAGCATCTTTAACACAAATTTCCTATTTAAAAACAAATGAGCAACACCCTTTTATTGTGACACAAGTATACATTAAGCAGTAAACTAATAGCAAATCTAATAAGTAATGTATCTTAGCTTACAATGTCTCAAAAGGAAATACTTTTAAAGTAATTGTAAAGCAAATGCTAAGACATTCATTCCTAAGATACAAGGGGAAAAAAACCTAACAGACTTCAATCATTTGTGCACAAGTAACAAATCCTACCTATGTTTTGGTAAGGAATGGTAATTCTTAACTCAATACAAATCTTGAAAATCAGCAGAGATATTAATGTCTGGCATAAATATACAGATTGCCAGCAGATAATAAAGAATAAATCCTTTGAAAAGGCAAAAGTGAAATTTTATCCTACTAATGAATGAATCTGAAGGAGACCACAGATATACAAGAACTAGGTTAACCAAGGGGACTCATAAAAAGGACCTATTTCATTATTCCAACTCTTTCCACTATTTGCATTTCTCAGACAAGAAGCAAATAAAAAGCCTCCAAAAACCCAATGTTTAAAATGATTGCTAGGAAAATCAGGATCACCATTTAAGATATATTGTTACAGAAATTAATTAATGTGAAAATAATTTATTCATTACAATACGTCTGTCTTTTATTTTGTAATAAAATGAAGACTTTAACAAATAAAATTGGATTTCACTGTATCACTTTTCCCTGTGCTCAAAGGAACAAATGCATTTGCCCAAATATCCCTTAAAAATGTCATACTGGTCTGTACTTCTACCAACATTATCATTCAGTTCTTTCTCATAAAATACATTCCTTATCATCCCCTGAATTCTCCAACTCTCTTCCTCTCCTTATAGTCTTTATTCAGTGTTTCAAACTGCCTTACAGGGAGCTCTTGCAGACCTGGGTTCAAATTCTCCCTCTAAGACTTTGTAACATTAAGGCCATTAATAATCAGTTTCCTTGAATGTAAAATAGGAATAATAATAGTTTTTGCCTCATAGGATAGTTGCAAAGATAAAGTGAGATACTGAATGTAAATGTAGCACAGTGTCTGGCATATAGGAGGCACTCAATAAAAATGACAGTCATGATTAGCTTTTTAAAAAATTATGATAAAATATACATAACATAAAATTCCATTTTAACCAATTATAAGTGTACAGTTCATTAAGTACATTCGCATTGTTGTGCAACCAATCACCATCCACGTCCAGAAGTCTTTTCATTTTCCCAAACTGAACCTGGTGAAACTCTGTACTCATTAACAATAACTCCCCATTCCCTCTCCCCAGCCCCCGGAAACCACCATTCTACTTTCTGTCTCTATGAATGTGACTACTCTAGGGACCTCATCTAAGTGCAATCATACAGTATTTGTCCTTTTGTGACTGGCTTATTCCACCTAGCATAATGTCTTCAAAGGTATTATTAGCTTTTAAGAATCTATTTTCTTCCTGTGAGTATTATTCCAAGAAAAAAATCAAATACTGACCTCTTCTAATAAGCACCATAAAAGAAAAATCTTCAGTGTATATTGAAGTGGGACATTTCCTCTAATAACCTTTAACATATTTTCAGAGAATTAAATATAATGTTGCCCATACCTGACATCCATTCACAATGGACTGGAAACCAGAGCCACAGAGCCTATTAACAGTGAGAGCTGGGGTCGCTACTGGGATTCCCACACGCAAACCAACATGCCTCGCCAGGTATATAGCATCTGAAGAACTCTGGAACAGAGGGAAAAGAAAAAGAATTTCCTCTATCAATCTAGAAATTAAGAAGGACAAAATATATGGAAATGTTGGCAATCTATGAAAAATTATAAACTATATGGGTCTAAGGTAGCATACAATGTATATATGTACAGCATATTTTATATTACACATGTGCTTATGATTTGAATAAAAACTATAATTTGGTCAAGAGTAAGAGGTGGGACTAGACCACTGCTGCCCAAACTTTAAAATGCATACTGGGGCATCTTGCTAAAATGTAGGTTCTCAATCAACAGGTCTAGGACTGCCTGAGATTCTGCATTTCTAACCATTTCCCCGGTGAAGCCAATGTTGCTGGTCCAAGGATCACTCTTTGAGTGAGAAGGGATAAAACGACTTTTTTTTAAACAATAAAAACAACAGCTTTTACTGTAGAGAGCTAAAGCAAATTTGATAAAATGTGAAAAACTGGTCCATCAAGGTAAGAGGTTTTAGGGCACTGAATAGTTCACTATTCTTTTTAATTCTGTACAGGCTTGAAATTTTTCAAAATAAAATCCAACAAGTTCAGCACATCTATAGGTTAGGAGTTTTGAATGAAGATGGAAGTACGAGGAGCTCAGTATAACATCAATTAATCCACTGATTGAATGTTTCATTTGTTGATTGTGATGAAATTATCTTATTTTCATTAATCATTTTCATCAAAAACACTGTTGATGTAGGAATATTCTTTTGCTAGGATTTTCTGTTGTGCAGTCACTATTCTTATAATATTCTCTAGTGTTCTGATTGGTGAAATAGGTGTTTTATAAAATCAAGCAATAGTTGAGGAGAGCAGAGAAGGAGGGGAGAAAAGGAGGGAGGAGAAGTACAGGGAGGAGAGTGGAAAGGAGGAAGGAAGGAGAGAGGAAAGAAAAGGGAGAAGGGGAGGGAAGAAAACAGGAGAGAAGGAGAGGAAGGGAGAGGGGAGGAGTGAAGGGGAGGAGGGAGGAGCGGGGAAAGGATGGAGAGGGGAGCAGGGAAGAGAGGGGAGAAGAAGGGAGGGGAAGGGAGGAGAGGAGGGGAGAAGAGAGGGAAGGAAGGGAGGAAAGAGCGAAGGAAGGAAAAAGGAAGAGAGGGAGGGAAGGAGGGATAGAAGAGAGGGGAGAGCAGAGAGGGGAAGGGGTGGGGAGGGAGGGGAGAGAGGAGAGAGGATGGAAGGAAGGAAAAGAGAGGAGGAGGAGTTAGGAGAGGAGGAGAGGGGGCTGGAGGAGAAGGGGAGGAGAAATAAAATAACATTAAGCATTTTCAAATGTTTGCAGACCTATCAGACCTTGCATTAAGTGCTTTGACAAGGATGATCTCATAAATTCCTTACTGTATACACCTACATACTGTGCATTACACAAATATATCATATACATGTATAACTGTTTTCTATTATTATTTCTAACTTTTATTTTCATTGTGAGGACAAAGTGAGCCAACAAATGTGAAAATAGTTTTCTGAACTGGGAAGTGACGTAAAAAAATGAGGGATGTTTGTAGTGCTGTTTCTAGGTCTAATTAAACACTTTACATTCACGTTTTCTTAGCAAGAACCCATCTACCAGGTTGTGAGCACCAAGGATAAGCCCCTTAAAGGCTCGATTTCACCCCGAGGGTTTAATGACAATTCTTTTTACCAGCATGTTACTAGTGCCTTTGGGTCTGTCTTCACATTGAGTACAGCCATGTTTGGCTGTTCCCTTGACCTATAGCCACTAGCACACAAAGAAATATAAAGCTGCTTTCTGTGTGGTGGGAATTGGCCCTTCTCCCATGGAGATAGTTGCAATTTGTAACATTACAAGGCTCTTTGGGCATCGTAGCTCGTAGCTCTAGGCAGACTGGCCATCTGTGCCAGGCTGGGACAATAAACAGGGAGCACAATGCACATACACAACTGCTGCGCTGGGACGATAGCCCGGGGGCTCAGTGCACATAGGCAACTGATAACCATTTGTGCATGGAAACACTAAATCCTTGCTCTGCAAACTCTGTAACTGCTTACTCTGGAGATTACTGATGCTATATAAACTGCTGGAAACTGAGGCCCAGTGAGAGTCTCACCTGTGGAGAGGATGCCTTGCCCAGGACCTCTGACGACTGGACTCCCGCCTAGTCGTGTCAATTGAATGGACTCTCCCCGGCGCAGGGGCGAGGATGTTGTGAGTAACCGCTCTGATATTTTCTCTTTTGGTCAACCCGGTGTTTCTCTTTCCGGTTGATTTGTGTTATTTCCCTTCAGTCAATCTGGTGTTTTCCTTTCTGATCGATCTGATGTTTTTCCCTCTTATTATATGACCTATTCGAATCTGCTTCTATCTCAGTCGATCTTGTGTTTCCCTTTCTGATCGATTTGTGTCATTTCCCTCTTGTTATCTGACCTATTCGGATCTGTTTGCAGACTATCGCCTTTACTCTCCTCTACATAATAAAATATACCTTCAGTCCATTTGTTTGGAGTGTAAAGTTTCTTTTATGTCTCCGATTGAATCCACCGAACCTCCCAAACCAGGGTCTCTCATTGCTGCCTGGACAACCCCAGGGCAGTTGGTGGCAGGGCCCCTCCCAGTGTCCCTTCCTGTGGGGGAAGGTTCCTATTATGTCAACCTCGGAGCTGCAAACTGATAAATAAATGGCAAGCAAGAGGATATATTGGAGCACAAAGGAAGCCATTTGGGGTAAAACTAATTCGGCCTGAGTTTGTTTTTCCAACAGGGCCTGTCACCTTTAAACATGCATTGTGTATCTGCTTTGTCATGTCCCAAAGAGAAGAGTAAATGCCCTTAAGATAAGGATGCAACTTCCCCCACACTGGCATGTCCTTAAGGACAAGCATTTCTCCCTAGGCTAGGATTTGATTGCTGCAGTCATCCTGTGACCACCTAGTTTGAGACAACAGACCTGATCCAGCCAAGCCCATCGAGATAGCAGACCTTCTCCCCACTGTGTCTATCAATAGCTATTCTGGCAGGGCAATCTGGCAGGGCGATCTTGTGGCTACTGAAAAAGGGATATTGCAATTATATGTGATACATGCTCTCTGACGGTATATAACCGCTCTGTACACCCCACTTCTTTGGTGCCCTTCCTTCCTTGGGGAAGGGAGGCCCTGGTCTATGGTGCTCAAAAGTTGGCTCATAATAAACTCACCCCAATTGTGATTTATAGATTGATTATGGATTATTTACATCAACAAAACCCAAGTGTAAAGAGAGGGGTGCAGTGTTGGGAGCTGGGGACGTGGCCCAGAGCAAGGCAGCTGTCTGACTGCTGTGTTGGCCAGCTACAGCACCTCCTGCAGTGGGGCATCCTATAATTCTGGTCAGCTTCCCCTTCGGGAAGTAGCTAATCGAGAAATGAGCACCATTCAAGTCCGTGTCCCTTTCTCTATGTCAGACATGACTCAAATAAAGTCTCAGGATGATATTCCCAAAATCCCTCTAAGTTCATTGATGGCTTTCAGCAGCTCACCATGATGTCTGAGTTAACCTGGCAGGATATATATATTGTCCCGACTCGATGCTGTACTATAGACGAGAAAGGACGCATTTGGGCTGGGGCTCGAGAGTTCGCTGAAGAGTTCCACGCTAGGGAACGACATCGATATCCTGTAGGGGGCACAGCAGTGCTGGACACAGACCCTGGCTGGGATTATCGGGATGAGCAGGAACGGTGGGGGGCGGAAAAGAAGTCATCTGATAACATGCCTGATAGAATGAAAAAAGGATTTATTAAACCTGTGAATTTTGAAAAACTTCAGGAAGTCACACAAGGAGCAGATGAGAACCCTGCCCTGTTTCAGGGAAGACTAGCAGAGGCTATTCGTAAATACACAAACTTAGATGCTGCCTCTCCAGAGGGCATCACTATTTTAAACACGCATTTTATCAATCAGTCAGCTCCTGACATTCCTCGTAAATTAACCAAGTTGGCCCTAGGGCCCCACCCAGCCGCTAACGGAGGTGGCCGCCCAGGTTTTCAATAACAGAGACTTGGCTATCAAACAAGATGAGGACTGCAGTGCTAAGGTCCAGGCTCATGTCTTAGGAGCCGCAAACGCGGATTGGCCACAGAGACAGACTAATTCGGGGTCCAAAGCCAAATTTAATGATGGGGGTCTACGGAAGTCCCCGTTCTAAATGTCAACAGCTGGGACACTGGAGTAAGCAATGCCCCAAGAAGGACCTGCCTCCAGGGCCACGTCCTCTTTGCAAAAAGGAGGGACATTGGAAGAGGGATTGTCCTTGTCTCCAGAGTGAGAGGGGGCCAAGAACCCATTTCCCTGCCAGAGGAAAGGATCCAGAGCATTCATCCCGAAGGGGCCCAGGGGCCAGTTCGCCTCCCATTGGCATCCAACAGGCTGAGCCCCAGGTTACTCTGGACGTGGAAGGTGAGCAAATCAACTTTCTTATTGATACAGGAGCCACTTACTCTGTCCTTATTTGCCACGCTGGTCCGACAAGAAGTCACCCCATAAGATTGTGGGGATAGACGGAGACTCAAAATGTTGCATTCAGGCTTATCCCCTGACTTGTAAATAGCAACACCAGGTGTTGTCACATTCCCTTCTTGTTTTGCCCGTTGTTGAGTTGAGATTTAATCACCAAGCTCGGAAGTCAATTCATACTGACGCAGGGAGAAAATAACTTGTTCGTGGCACTCCTTATTGAATCCACAGGTCAACAAATGCCTCCGAATATTCCTGCCCATATACTAGAGGAGGTGTATCCCAAAGTATGGGATTGTGCCCTTCCTGGATGAGCCATCACTGCCACTCCTGTTTCTATTATTCTAAAGACCCAACTTGTGTTTCTCATGCTAAACAGTACCCCCTGAGGCCTGAAGCTATACAAGAACTTCAGCCCCTGACTTCTAAATTTCTGGAACATGTGATTCTCCGGAGATGTCAATCGCCCTATAACACTCCTATCTTGTCTGTTAAAAAGCCCAACATCGAATGTCGTTTGGTTCAACACTTGCGA